TGTGTGTGTGTGTGTGTGTGTGTGTGTGTGTGTTGTGTGTGTGTGTGTTGTGTGTGTGGTGTGTGTATTTCTATAGCTTAAGTTACAGTGCTGTGATTGGCAAAGCATAGTTTAATGTTTAAAATTTAAATAAAAATATGTTAACCGATGGCTGGAGAGGTGACTCAGGTTTGGTTCCCAGCACCCATGTGGCAGCTCACATCGGTCTATAACTCAGTGCCAGGGGACCTGACGCCCTCTTCTGGCCTCCATGGGCACCAGGCACACACACGGTACACTGACATACATGTAGGCAAAGCACACACATTGTTAAAATAAATAAATGTACGTATAGACAGATGGATGGACCTATGGGTGGGTGGGTGAATGGATGGATTGGTTTGCTTATTTCTCTCATCTTGAGAGAATTTCCGGGGCTGGAGAGATGGCTCAGTGGTTAAGAGTACTGGCTGCTCTTCCAGAGGACCCAGGTTTAATTCCCAGCACCTACATGGCAGCTCATACCATGAGCTATAACTCCAGTTCCAGGGGATCTGACACCTTCACACCAATGCACATAAAAATAAAAAGTTAAGTAAATTATTTGTTTAAAAACAGAATTTCCTAGCCAGGTGGTGGTAGCACACGCCTTTAATCCCAGCACTTGGGAGGCAGAGCCAGGCGGATCTCTCTGAGTTTTAGGCCAATGTGGGCTACATAGTGAGTTCCAGGAAAGGCGCAAAGCTACACAGAGAAACCCTGTCTTGAAAAACCAAAAACAAAAAACAAAAAACAAAAAACAGAATTTCCTGTGGTAAGTGTAACTGAGGTGGTTTTGTGGGGTCTGTTGCTTGGATTTAGGGATGAGAAAGGAGAGCTAACACAGTTGTACTCAAAGCCGCCCACACTCTGGGCCTGAACAAGAATACTTTATTGTTAGATTGTCTTTGAGGTGTCTTTTGTCTAGAGCACTGGTCTCTATAGACGGTTTTGTGTGATCAGTTGTGGTAAAGTTTCAGGCTTCTAGGTGGTTCCAGAATAAGTGTTCCCTTAATTTTCCTTGTCTGTCCGTTTTGCCCCAGCCTACGTAAGAGCGCACAAAGTATTACAAATGAAGGCTGTGGCACTGGGATTCACATTGAGGATGGACATTGAGGGCTGGCTGTCCCTGTGCCCTTCCTGGCTCTGCCTTTTCTCAATAGGCTCATTCTAGACAATGGAGAAGTGGGTGGTTCCCCAGCCTCCACCAGTGCAGCGTCTCTACCAGGCACGGATTGTAGCACCAGACCCAAGGGTGCTTGTTGGCCTATAGCGGCTAGTGCAGATGTGTGCCCTTCCCCTCCCCTGGGGGAAAAAGACCTGGAAGCCGGGTGTGGTGGGACACGATTGTAATTCTACTGCTGAGGTGGTAAGAGAGTAAAGTGTGTTTTGGGGGTAATCCAGAAACAAGACCTAAGGTTGTCTATCCTCTGGCCTCGACATGCATTACCTACACACGCTAACATACACACACAAGTCTGTAAACAGAGTGTAGTGGTGTGCACCTATCCTAGCACTGAGTAGTGGAGGCAGCAGGATGAGAACTTCAAAGCCTTCCTTAGCTGTGGAGCCTTTTGGTGGCCAGCCTGTGTTGTGTGAGACCCTGTCTCAAAAAATGAGTAAGTCTTAGCTGGTGGGTGGGATGCAAAGACTTCAGTGCACTACTGATTTTTCCCCATGAGTCAAACTCTGTTTATTATCTCATTTCCCAGTCTGGCAGATTGAAGGGAAAAGGATGGTGCCATAAGTAAGCATGCTGGTGGTTGTATGGAACGTGAGCCTGATGGTGCCGAGTCACAATTCAAAAAGTAACCATCTGCAGACACTTTGGTGTGAGTGTTTGCCAGCTTGCACCACATGTAGACTTGGTACCTGTGGAGGCCAGAAGGTCTCACATCCCTTGGAACTAGAGTTACAGGGGGTTGTGAACCACTGTGTGGGTGCTTGGAAATAAACCCGGGTCCTCTGCAGGAGCAGCCCGTGTTCTTCACCGCTGAGCATCTCTCCAGCCCTAGTCTCATATAGTTTTTAATGTTGATGACTAAGTGAAAGTTGTCTTTAAGGGGAATGAACCCTCTCTGTAGCGTAGTGTGTGCATCAGGTACTATGATAATTTCACTCATCTTCCCTGGAATGTGGCTGTTCTCATGAGAGGTCAGGAATGAGCCAGGGCTAGTGGCGTAGGTCAGCGGTAGAGCCTGTGCTTAGCATGCGTCAGGTTCTGGGTGTGATCCAAGGCCACCAGACTCCACACCCTCGAGGGCTGTCTGGACAGTGCTGCTGTGGTCATCTTCCTTCCCAGGGTGCTGTGGCTTTGTCACCGTCCGCAGTTGTAAGCCAGCCAGTTTCTCCTTTGCTCTTGGCGTTTTATGAGCAGACGGCTGATACTGAGATCTCCTTGGTAACTGTTCCGTGTTTCCTAGGATCAGCAGCAGGCCCGGCAGTCTCAGCTTGCTCAGGATGAGCGTGTTTCACGTTCTTATCTCGCCCTGGCGACTGAAACCGTGGACATGTTCCATCTCCTCACCAAGCAAGTCCAGAAGCCGTTCCTCAGGCCAGTGAGTAGAAACTGGGGTGCTCACGTTGTCTGTGGGGTGACACATGCAGCCTGTAGAACTCAGGACAATTGTTCATTTTAACCACGGTGATCAGTAGTGAATTTCTTCCTGATTTTGTTCCTGGGTGTGTCAATTGATACACATTGCATGGTACTCTACCTAACTGAAGTGAAGCCCTTGACATGTAGTCTAAAATGCTCACTTCAAGATGGCTTTCTTTTTTCTGTTTACACAGCACATCTGGATTATGGATTTGTGGCACAATTTTATTGCTATTGATTTCTGTGTTTTATATATCAGAAAAGTATAAGGTAACAAATTCCAATTTGGAGGACATTAAGTAGAATGATTGATAAGAGGTCTTTGCTGCTTTTAAAGTAGCTTTGTAGCATTGAGGAAGCTGGAAGCCAATGAGAACTGGTTGAGGCCTGTGGTAGGTTAAAGGCAGTCTCAGTATTCCACCTGATTACTAAGGCCGGGTCCTGTTTCTGAGGTTAAAACTGAGCAGTATTCCCTGAGGGACCTGCTTGCTGACCTACCCCGGCGAGAAGCTGTGATGCCGTGGTGTGGCAGGGTCAAGGGCAAGTCAGAGGGCGCAGCACTGTCTGCATGTGTGGAGCTTTGTTAGCTAGCTGTTTCCTCCGGTTCTCCATATGCCCTCTTCGCTCCATTCCATGACTCACTGTGTTGCCTCCAGCAGAGGCTTTACCGCACAGTGGCCTGAGACCTGGGTCTTTTCCTGTCTCTTGATGAGCAGGTTTCAGCACAGTCGCAGGGAAGCAGGGGAGAAGACAGCTCACCGCCCACATACCTGCTTCCCTCAAGGATGTGCCAAAGGGGTTTACTAGCATTTCCTACAAAGGCCAGAGACTAAGTCCTTTAAAGATGTTATAGACTGTGTGTCTTGGGCAGCTTTTCAGCTGTGCTCATGCTAACAGCCTGGACATAAACAAGCCTGGCTGTTTTCCAATAAAGCTTTATTTACAAGAGAATGACCAAATTCAAATATAACTCTGTTTACAAAAAGAAGGATCTGACTGGAGTTGGCCACAGGTACTGTTTTGCCAACTCTATTCTCTCTCTTTTTTTTAAAAGATTTATTTTTACTTTCATGTGGGTGTGTTGGGGTATGCCACATGTTTGCCAGTGCCTCTGAAGGTCAAAAAAGGGTGTCAGGGTCCCTGGAGCTGGAGTCACCGACAGTTAGGAGCTCCCTGATGTGAGTTCTGGGAACCGAACTTGTGTCCTCTGGAAGGAGAAGCAAGTGTTCTTAACAGCTGAGCCATCTCTTCAGTCTTCATTTCTACCTTCTTTACTGGTGGCTTGAGCATTCGCTACAGCAGAGAAAACCCAGCAACTCTAACCGCTCCTCAGTTCCCGGCTTCTCCACACAGGACTGTCGCTGTGCTTTGTAGACCAGGAGGCTCTGTAGTGCTGTGTGTCGTCAGGCTTGTGTAAGTCCAGTCATTTCATGAGAACCCTGTTATTTAAAGAATCTTTCTTGGTGGTCAGTATTTACTCTCTGATCCACAGCAGCTTCTCTCTGAGCTCAGAAGCTGTGTCTGCCCAGCTGTAATAGACACAGTCGTCCTGTGGGTCTCACATGCTATTTTGTCCTTATTTTCTGGCTGTTGAAGTCATCACTGACTAGATTTAAAACTCTTGACAAACATCACCTCCTTCTGTGTGTCTGATCAGTAGTAAATCAGATGGTATATACTTGACCATCAGCAACTTGAGATTTCTGGGAAAGCACAGGAAGTGCTGCTCCGTACTGCAGAATGGCAGGGTTGCCAGTGACTTTCCTTCCTTCACCTCCCGGGTGAATTTGGAGGGATGCTTATAATTAAGAGTGTGTGTTTTGGGGCCAGAGAGATGGCTTAGCAGAGAAGAGCACAGGTGTTCTTCCGGGTTCAATTCCCAGCACCCACATGGCAGCTCACAACTGTCTGTAACTCCATTTCCAGGGGATCTGACACCCTCACACAGATGCACATAAAATAAAGTTCAATTATATTTTTAAAAGTGTGTTGCCAGGTGGTGGTGGTGCACACCTTTAATCCCAGCACTCAGGAAGCAGAGGCAGGCGGATCTCTGTGAGTTCAAGGCCAGCCTGGTCTGCAGAGCTAGTTCCAGGACAGGCTCCAAAGCTACAGAGAAACCCTGTCTCAAAAAACAAAACAAAAACAAACAAACAAACAAAACTGTATCTTTACAGAAGACTTTGGACATTCATTCATATGCAGTCTGTACCATTCCATTATGAGGGTTTTCAGATAACAAATGATGGTGAGGGGACTGGACCGACGTCTCAGCAGTTAAGAGCACTGGCTGCTCTTCCAGAGGACCTGAGTTCAATTCCCAGCAACCACATGGTGGCTCACAATCATCCGTAAAGAGATCTGGTGCCCTTTTTTGGCCTGCCTGCAGGGATACATGTACGCAGAACACTGTATGCATGATAAATAAATAAATCTTCTTTAAAAAGAAAAAAAAGAAAAGATAGAAAGGGTGGTGAAAACCAGTGTTGGGTTGCCATGCAGCTTTCTTTAGCGTATGTGGCTCAGCACATTTCAGGTATTTTTGAAGATTTAACTAGCCGATTCCTGTTCCTCCGATGAGATGGTCGCCAGCATTCTCAGCAGCTTGAACTGTCCTGTTATCCTTTCATTTCCTAGGAACTTGGACCCCGATTAGCAGCCATGCTGAACTTTAACCTACAGCAGCTGTGTGGACCCAAGTGCCGGGACCTGAAAGTTGAAAACCCAGAGAAGTACGGTTTTGAGCCAAAGAAGCTGCTGGACCAACTGACGGACATTTATCTGCAGCTGGACTGTGCTAGATTTGCTAAAGCCATTGCTGATGACCAGGTGAGTGTTGCTGGAGGGCTTCTCTCCAGGTTCCACCAAGACCCACAGTCCCACAATCCACGTATAAAATAATTATTCAGACGCTTATATTACTCATAAACTGTATGGCCGTGGCAGGCTTCTTGTTAACTGTTTTTATATCTTAAATTAACCCATTTTTATAAATCTATACCTTGCCATGTGGCTGGTGGCTTACCGGCGTCTTTACAAGCTGCTTGTCCTGGCCGTGGCTGCAGTGTCTCTCCCCTTTTTCCGGTTTCCCCAATTCTCCTCTCTCCTTGTCCCGCCTATACTTTCTGTCTGGTCACTGGCCATCAGTGTTTTATTTATATAGAGCAATATCCACAGCAGGTGAGTGCTAAGTGAGGCCTTTCATGGGAGGCCTGGCATCCGTCACTGAGCTGTGCAGTTTGGATCTTCTGGCTGCACCTTCAAGCAGACCTTGTGCACTTAACCTCTTCCTCTTGAGTTTTCCCCACTTCAAATGCAGGAAAAAGTGGGACTTTAAGTTTCGGTTTCCGAAGTTTTGGTAGAGTGACCGTGAGTGAAGCACAGGAACACATCTGGTCCAGGGGGAGGTGAACTGGCTGCTTCCCTGGGAGAAAAGACCAGAGTTGGCCCCTAATCTCTCAGACCCCGAAGAGATCAGTCTCCAAGCCCTGTTTGTGTTTCCCAGGAAATGCAGGTCTTCCCAAGTCCTCAGCTTTAGAGCTGCCATGAATACATGTCTTCCAGAAAAGTCTACTGGTGTTCCCATGACTCCCTCTCCTTCATCCCGGGAGACTCAGCGGTCAGGTTAGCCACCACTGCAGGTCATACTGTTCTCCACACCTTCTCTCTGTGATGCCACTGTTGTCACAGAAAGGGCTGCCCTGGAGGCACAAGCCTGTATCCCAGATACCCAGGCGGCTAGAAGCAGGATGGCCACAAGTTCAAGGCTAACCTGAACTTACCGAGACCATCTCTGAAAATAAAACTGAGTTGGGAATGGACTTCAGTGATAGAACACCTGGATGTGCAAAGCCCTTGGCTCAATCCTTAGTCCAGACAGAGTTCTTAACAAGGAAAGAAAGGGCTCCTTCCTTCCATAGGCTCTGGTCCTGCTTCTAGTTTTTCCCAGGTCTTTGAGATAAGGTATCATAGAGACTAGGCTGGCCGTGAACTCCTGATCTCAAACACTTTGATTTGTGCCACCATGCCTGACATCTGGGGCATCTTCAACATAGTTATTAACTGTGTTCCACTTCTGACCACTTCTCATGTTTTCATTCATTTAATAATCATAGAATTCTGACACAGTTTCTGCTGAATTCTTTGTTTCAAAATAAGGAAAGCAGGGCACAGAGGAGCACACGGTGGTGTAGAGGTAGGAATGTGGCCAGCAGCCCAGCCTTGTGCCCGGATTCTCCCCCTTTCTACCTAAAGCCCAAAACCTGGTATGTTGATCCCAAATCTCTACCTTTGTACACAGAAACCATTCCAGTAGGATTCATACCATGTTACCCATCCTTACACATTCCAGAAAGTTCTCTACCTGTATGTAATCCAAAGGAGTAATGCTAGAATACAAACATTGTATATACTTCTCTTTTCTTAAGTTTTTTGAAACAGGTTGGCCTCGAACCCAAGATCCGCCAGAGTCAGCCTTCTGAGTGCTGGAATCAGAGGTGTGTGCTACCACACACTGTAGCAGGAATCTTAAAAGTTCTTATTAATAAAATCAAACCTGAGGCCAGTTATTGGGGTGAATGCTGGTAGATCAGATGCAGAACAAGCCACAGCTACCTCACCTTGCCAATTCCTCAGCTGGTCCTGTTTCCTCAGACTGGAGGCCTCTGAGTCTTCATCCAGAATGAATCTCAGCTGATCTGCTGCTCCAAAGCCTGAAAGATTAACCAGCCAAATGCTTAACCAGCCAAAATGCTTCTAGTTTCTGGTCCTCGCGCCTTATATATCTTTCTATTTTCTACCATTACTCCCTGGGATTAAAGGCGTGAGTCACCATGCTTGGCTGTATCCTTGAACACATGGATTTCTGCCTCTGGAATGCTAGGATTAAAGGCATGTGCTACCACTCCCTATCCTAAGTATCTAGTGGTTTTTCTGTTCTCTGACCCCAGATAAGTTTATTAGGGTACACAATATTTTGAGGAACACAATACCACCACAACACACTGCCTTTTTTAAAAAATTTTATGTCTATGAGAGCTCTATTTCATGTTCTTGCATGAACAACTTTATGCCAGAAGAGGGCATCAGATCCCACCAGAGATGGTTGTGAGCCATGTGGTTGCTGGAAATTGAACTCAGGACCTCTGGAAGAGCAGCCAGTGCTCTTAATTGCTGAGCCATCTCTCCAGCCCAAACTTTTGTTTATTTATTTATTTGTTTGTTTGTTTATTTGTTTTAAAATGTGGTGGTGCATGCCTTTAATCCCAGCACTTGGGAGACAGAGCCAGGCAGATTTTTGAGAGTTCGAGGCCAGCCTGGTCTACAGAGGGAGATCCAGGAAAGGTGAAAAGCTACACAGAGAAACCCTGTCTCTGAAAAACAAAACAACAACAACAAAAATAGTCTTATTACACTATAGTTCACGTGTGTCAGTGCTTTTTGTTGTTTCTCTTATTGTTTTGAGACAAGGTCTCGCTGTGCAGCTGTCTGTCTCCCCATTGCTGGGATTACAGGTATGGTGAGTGATGGTGATGGTGGATATGCAGAAAAAGCAAGCATGTGTAGTTATTTAGAAATGGAAGTTTTAAAACTGTAGTACTCAGGAGGCAGGGATAGGTAGATCTCTGTGAGTTCAAGAAAGAGAGGGAGAGATTAAGGAGTTTTGGTCCAGTACTGGAGAGGAACGCAGGTATGAGATGAGTCCATATGTAGGTATCAGTGTGGATCCTGCTCGGAACTTGACAGGATGAGCAGTAGGGTCAGGACAGGCCCTCACAGTGAAGCAGAAGCTCCTACAGGTCAGCCTAGCTGGCCCATTGCTCTTGCACTGGGGAAGGCATCTGGGGAAGTTGGCATCGGGTTGCCTGGCACCCAGCTTCTTCCGTGTTACCACTGAGTCTCAGACATCTGGCCTGGACAGCTTAGGGATTTACCTAAGACTGCACAGCTGGAAGTCACGGGACCTGAGTTTATGTCCAGGTTTATCTGGACGCGTTGCCCACCTTTTCAACTTCTATTACAAACTGTATCGGCTCCTAGGCTCTCACCTGCTTATTGGATTGGTCCGATGCTGTAGAAAATCTGACATTACATAGTGTTGGATTCAGTGATCGGTGTGTGCTGGAGTGTTTGGTGATTGTTTGGTTTTTCTGGGTTTTTTTTGTTGTTGTTTGTTACTGTGATCTGTTGAGATAGGGCCTCACTATTTAACCTAGGTCGGCCTTAACCTTCCTTCCCATCCTCCTGTTCCAGCCCCTTGAGTGATAGGAAGGAGTACACATGGGATGGCCACCAGGCCAGGCTGAGGTGAGCCCAGAGAATTGACAGTGAACAGAACAAAGCAACCCCCAAGTATGAGCAATGATGGGACAGTGGTGTGTGTTTGGTTTTACCTGTGCTCACCGTTCTGTGAGAAAACAAATTCATCTCGTTTCATGGGCTTCCAGGGCACAGTGCCCCACAAAGATCAAAATAAATAGGCTTCTTTCTCTTTTTAGTGACTAAATTTTAAAAGAAATGCTTTCTAGCTCCCAGAGTCTAAAAATCTCCATTTTGCTGAGTCCTGCAGCCCTCCATAGATGACCCTGGACCGTTGGTGCATGTCATTCTCTCTGTGCATTGTAACTATATTCAGTACATCCTTGCACATGGTACAGTGTGTAGAGGAAGACTGGAATACAGAATTTATGATTATAATCTTGAGGAGCAAATGAGCAAATGGATCGCACTTGGACATTTTCTAAAGGTTTTTTTCTTCTCAAGTATATATATATTCTCATCTCATGACCTTTCCTCATCTGCAGAGATCCTACAGCAAGGAACTGTTTGAAGAAGTCATTTCAAAGATGCGGAAGGCAGGAATCAAGTCCACCATTGCAATAGAGAAGTTTAAGCTTCTTGCTGAGAAGGTGGAGGAAATAGTGGCCAAGAATGCACGCGCAGAAATTGACTACAGCGATGCCCCGGATGAGTTTAGAGGCGAGTCCCTGTGCTCACGCTCTCGTCCCTGGTGTCATTTGAAGTGTGTGACATCAAGGAGACTGTCTTAGTCACTGTGCTACTGTTGTGAAGGGACACTGTGACCAAGGCAACTCTTTTTTCCTTTATGGTTTTTCGAGACAGGGTTTCTCTGTGTTGCCCTGGCTGTTAGGGAACTCACTCTGTAGACCAGGCTGGCCTCAGAAATCTGCCTGCCTCTGCCTCCTGAGTGCTGGGATTAAAAGCGTGCGCCACCACTGCCTGGCCCCAAGAAAGCATTTAATTGGGGCGGCGGGGAAAGGGGGGGCTCTCACTTTACAGTTTCAGATCATTAGTTCATGATCAATGTAGCAGGCAGGCAGACACGCATGGGGCTGAGAGCTTACATCCTGATGCACAGCCAGCCAGAGAATGCAATTAGGCCTGACATGGGATTTTGAAACCTCAGCTCCCACTCCCAGTGACACACCTCCTCCAACAAGGCCATACCTCCTAATCCTTTCCAAACAGTTCTACTAACTGAGGATAAAGCATTCAAACATGAGCCTATAGGGGCCATCCTCATCGAAGCCACAGCAGGATTTTTGTTTGTTTGTTTGTTTGTTTGTTTGTTTGTTTGATTGTTTGATGGTGTACTGTAAGTGTTTCTGGATAGTTGGCTAAAATTATGTATACAAATTTTTAGCTCATATTGTAGATTAAAAGGATGAACATCCTTAGAGTGATTTTACCAGATAACCATGAAGACTTTAAAGGTCTCTACCTTTGTAAAGGGAGGAGTCTGGGTTCTCAGGCAAAGGGTCCTGTCCCAGGGGCCTGCTGCCTGGCTGTCCATCTTTGCTGTTTTCTCTTCCCAGCAGCAGTGACAGAAAGCAAGGTGCATGCTTTCATTATGAGCTGCTTCCCCCACGTGCAGGGACCCGAGGGGCTGTTGTCTCTCACTGGCTTCTTCAGTGTTAGCCTCCACCGCTGGAGTAATCTGCTCTGCTGTCTCCACAGACCCCCTGATGGACACCCTGATGACCGACCCTGTGAGGCTGCCCTCTGGCACCATAATGGACCGCTCCATCATCCTGCGGCATCTGTTGAACTCCCCCACCGACCCCTTCAACCGACAGATGCTGACGGAGAGCATGCTGGAACCAGGTAGGAGGCACAGCCTGCCTTGCAGTGCTGATGCCCGTGTCGGGGAATGCAGCAGACCCTGAGGGGGTGGAGGGCAAGCTCCTGGGGCCTAACACCTGTAGTCCCGCTGCTTGGGAGGAGGAGGAGGAGGAGGAGGAGGAGGAGGCAGGAGGGCAGCCTGATTAAGACCAGCCTAGACCGCTTAGTTGAGACACCGTGTCAAACAAACAAGGAAAGTTGGCTAGGTATATACCACAGAACTTGCTTAGCATGTGTACGTCCCCAGGTTCAGTCCCCAGCACCACCATCAGAAACAGGGACATTGAATCCTGAAAGTACCCAGTTTAAACTCTTTTTATGGAAAAGACACAAAACACTTGGCTCTCTTTTGCTCTAAATGCCTTCCTTTTGCTCTAAATGCCTTCTTCCTCTCTGGCTGTTTCTCCCACAGTCCTCAGCATGCAGAGGGAATGATAGCCTTCTCTTTCCGCTTACGCAGAACTGTCAGCTGAAGAGCCTGTCCATCTGGGCCCTTAATCCCTGTCTTTTCTCCCTCAGTGCCAGAGCTGAAGGAGCAGATTCAAGCTTGGATGAGAGAGAAGCAGAGCAGTGACCACTAAGCCGTCCCCGTCACACTTCTCTGCTGGAAACAGCCACGCCAGCCAGCCAGGCCGAAGCAGCATCCACCTCGAACCTGCTGCTCAACCCTGCAGCCAGATGTGGCCAGATCCTGAGAGCCCACCCCGAGTGACCAAACAGTAGAGGTCTGAGGGACGTGATGAGAAGAGGAGCCGATTCCTGTACATATATTTAAGTGACAGACAGTCACACGCGAGGGACGAGTTTTACGATTGCCTGTGTAGTAAAGCGCGTCCTTCGCCCGTCACACCCTGGGGCTGTGGCAACGGCAGTCTAGTGATGGCGAGTGGGTCTGGGCAGCATCCCCTGAGCTTTCGTTTCGTTTTGTTTTTTCGATGTGACTAGAGAACTCGGACATTTTGCTGCTAAAGAACCTCCCCCTCCCTGACCCTACTTGCACTGCTGTGGGTTTTTTAAAGAGAAACAAAACCAGACTCCTTTCCCAGCCCTCCCTCCAAACATGTATTCTGTGAGATAACTGTGCCTGCGACAAAGTGTTAATCTTGGGATCGTATTTTTATATCATATTCACATACTTGTTTTTTTAATTGGTGTTAGATGACATGATTAATAAAAAAGGCAAGATATTTTCAGAATTTGAATTTCAGTTTTTTTTCTTTTGAAATAGCCCTTTTGATTTTTTTTTTTTTTTAATTATAAACAAAATGAAGAGAGCCCTGTTGCCCTGGCCCTTCTACCAAGCAAGCCCTCGATTAAGATTCTGAGGAACAGATGCAGCAGTGGGATGGCTGAAGTGATCAGGACTCAAGTGACTCGTGGGGTTTGGGGAGGTGAGGGTTGTGTTTTGTTTTTTGTTTTTCTAATCCTATGTGACAATTCCAAACGTATGCCATTATCCTCTGAGGATAAATAGATTCCTCAACCCTGGGTTCATTTGTATGCTGTGTCCTTTTGGGGTTTGGCCTTACCAAAGCAAAAAAAAAAAAAAAAAGAAGGTACAAGAAATGTGGAAATCGAAAATCTGTTTGCTTGTTTCCGTGCCTGGACAAATGCCACCACACAGGCGCGCATGAGCAGAAGCTCTTTGTATTACCGCTCCCTACGCAACATACTTGAATTCTTGAATTTCCTTTGGGTGGAAAAGGATTTGAAACCATAAAGTGTTTTAAGGAAATGAAATCTTGAGAAGCATACTTTCTTTTCTTTCCCTTTCTCCTCTTCTCCACAGACAATGTGCTCTGTTCAGTTCCCAACACAAACTCCAATAAACGGTGATGCCCATTCGGACGGAGCTCTGTGCGTCGTCTTTTTGTGGAGAAGAAATGGGTGGGGATAGGCTGGGTGTGGTGGTGCACACCTTTAGTCCCAGGACTCCCAGGGAGGAGGAGGCGGGATGATCTCTGAGTTTGAGACCAGCCTAAAACCAGGCTAACCTAGGCTACATAATGAAATCCTGTCTTTAAAAAAAAAACTATGGGTTTGAAGCAATGGCTCGGCAGTTCTAGGAGCATCTGTGGCATTTCGAGGGACCCTGGCTCGGTTCCCAGCTTCTAGAGCTCACTGCTGCCTGGAACTCCAGTTCCAGGGACCAGACATCTTCTGGTTCCCACGGGCACTGGGCACACACATGGTGCACGTGCATACATGCAGTCCACACATTTACACACACAAAACGAGGGCAAACAGGAGCTGAGGGGCGTGCCTGTGGAGAACTGCCCTTCCTGGAGCCAGTTAGGAGTTGCTATTTTTAACACAAAACCCGACCGTTCAGGGAACAGAGGTGCCTGCTTGCTGCCAACCCCGGTGACCTGAGTTTGATCCCTGGATTCCATGTGCTGGGAGGAGAGCATTGACTCCCACGAGTTGTCCTCTGTCCCCCACACATGGCATAGCACATGCCCACCATACATACAACAAATAAATTAGTGTAAAAAGTGTGTTTAAATGAAACCTTTCTCACCCTCAGTCGATGTGGCCCTTGGTTCTCCTGTCCCTTGGCTGGTGGTCTGAAGGGCCTCCGTGCTGTCATGCTGTCATACCCTGCCCCCACACGTTGTCATACCCTGCCCCCACACGTTGTCATACCCTGCCCCCCACACTGTCATACCCTGCCCTCCTCTGTCACACCCTGCCCCCACACGTTGTCATACCCTGCCCCCCACACTGTCATACCCTGCCCTCCTCTGTCACACCCTGCCCCCCACACTGTCATACCCTGCCCTGCACGCGTTCATACCCTGCCACCCCCCCCAGCCCACCCCCCGCACTGTTATTCCTGCCCTCCGCCCACCTCTTAATGTTACTTCAGAGATCTCTGGGGCCCACGTTCTTACGCAGGTCCCAACCATTCCTTTAGCATTCCAATTTGCAAAATCATTAGTACCAGCACAGGCAGTAATAACCCCACCCACAGGAAGCACTTAGGTGGCACTTCCTGCACGCCAGGCACTGCGACTCTGTATTTATAGTGCCAGCCTCAGGTAGATAGAACTGCTTGTTTTTTTCTGGTTTGTTTGGCTCTGTTTTCAATAGTCAGGATACCAGCTGCAGAGAGATTAGGTACCTTGCCCATTGTCCCCTGGCAGGTACTCTGGCTCTAGGGCCCATGCCATTCATTACCTTAATGCCTACTTCTCTTGAGCACATTGGACACACACACATCACACATACACAATTTGGGCTAGGATATAGCTCAGAGGTAAAAGCATTTGTCGAGCGTGCGTGAAGGTCTGGGTCAATCTCCAATCTCCAATATTGTAAAAAAAAAAAAAAATTTAATCCGTTAAACAATACAAATAAAAGAAAATTACCCATGATTCCACCATTCAGGTGACTCTGTTCTGTTTACTTTTTACAAGGCATATTATCCACAAGCCTATGATGTTTATTAGCACCGTGCCTAACGTGTGCTGGTTTCACAGTTGTGGATTACTTATCTCCTCTCCACCCCTAGGAGGCGCTGTTTTAGTCCCATCTATGCTGTTCTGCATTTTCAGAACTGAAGGGTTACAAGAGCAGTCTTTAGGGAAGGAGGTGGGGTGGAGCCAATCTCCCTGCCTCTAGGGAGCGCTGTTTGGTATTTTTCTTTATTCTTGGAGTCTTAGGGTAGTTGTTTTATGGGAACTCATTGTTTGCCTTCAGTCTGCTAATTATAGGTTATGTGATGCAAAATATTTAGAAAGTAGGTCTGGATTGAAAGGAAGATCATCCAAAAAGGAGAACCTGCATCTTATTAGCAGAAGGAAAGCCCTTGAGTAAAAGGAGGAAGAGTAATCATGCTTATCTTGTGAGTCACCATTGTGTGGGTTCTAAAAGAGTAGACAGAACACCTCTTTCCTGTCTTCCTGGTGATGCTGAAGGTCCTACTCAGGACACATACATGCTAGGCAGGACTTGACACCCAGCTGAGAGACCTTCCTGTCTCCTCTTGTTTGCTGAGGCCTTGGCACACTGAAGAGTGAATTTCCTGCTGGTTTGATTCGGCCCTAAAGTGACTTGAGCACCTTTTGGCTAAATTTTGTTTTTGTTTGTTTGTTGGGTTTATTTGTTATTGTTGCTGTTTTTTCTCTCAGAGTTTCTCTGTGTAGTTTTGTTGCCTGTCCTGGATCTTGCTCTGTAGACCAGGCTGGCCTCGAACTCACTCTGCCTCCTGAGTGCTGGGATTAAAGGTGTGTGCCACTGCTGCCGCAGGGCTACTAAGTTTTTAAAGATACATTTGTCTTTATGTGTATGTGTGGTGCCTGCACCACATGTGTGCAGTTCCCATGGAAGCCAGAAGAGGGTGTAGGATTCCCCTGGAGCTGTCAGGGTGTTAGGGACAAGACCAGGGTTCTCTGTAAGAGGAGCACGTGCTGAGGCATCTCCAGCCCTTAAAGAAATTTTTCCTGGAGGAAATGAGCATACCATTGTATCAGCCAGTGTTGGGCTGTGGGAACTCATCTGGGACTGATGGCTAGTGATTTGCATTTCTTGATATGTTCAGTGTGCAAACCACTCTTCTGTGATTTAGTAACTCACTTAATCCTCGACAGCCATAGTTAGGAGATGGTGTCATGAGCCTGAAGCATGAGCATCTGCCTTCACCTGGTGTTGTCACCATTCCTGCTGCATGGTGGGATCCTTCAGAATGAATGGTCTGTATTCAGAATGGTTCAGAAGGCCCAAAGAGATAGAAAGCAGCACATTTGGCCGTTAGGGCAGCCCTAGGCCTAATGATCTCTTTCTGTTTGTTTTGAGACAGGGTCTCACTCTATAGGCCAGGCTGGCATCACTTGTTGCCATGGGAGCCATGGGAGCCATGGGAACTGTAAGAAATGTTAAGAAATGGCTCAAGGGCTAGAGAGATGGCTCAGAGGTTGAGAGCACTGGCTGCTCTTCCAGAGATCCTGAGTTCAATTCCCAGTAACCACATGGAGGCTCCCAACCACCTACAGTGGGATCTGATGCCTTCTTCGGGAATAAAGATGTACATGCAGATAGAGCACTCGTATACATAAAATAAATAATTAATTAAAAGAAGAGAGAGAAATGGCTCAGAAGCTAAGGAGCATCTTCTACTCTGCAGCATAAAGGAGGCTGGGTGAGCCGGGCTAGGTGTGGACAAGAGGCATCTGGAGCTGCTGCTGCTGCTGCTTTTTAGGGGGGCAGTAGGGGACTGAGGGCAGGGTATTTCAAGTCAGGGTTTCTCTGTGCCACCTTGGATGTCCTGGAACTCACTCTGTAGACCATGCTGGCCTCAAACTTAGAGAAATCTGCCTGGCTCTGTCTTTTGAGTGCTGGGATTAAAGGCGTGCGCCACCACTGCCCGGCCACCCGGAACTTCCAGATCTTAGCACTCAGGTCAAACAGTCTCCCTTATTATTTTCAGATATTTATTTACGTATTATTAATGTGTATGCATGTGTGTCTGTGTGAGTTTATGTGCACCATATGCATGTGGGTGCCCATGGAAGCTAGGGAAGGGCATAGGGTCCCCTGGATCTGGAGTTATAGGCCGTTGTGAGCCGCCTGACATGGATGCTGGGAATTGAACCAGGGTCCCCTGAAAGAACAATAAGCTTTCTTAGCCACTGAGGCATCTCTCCAACTCCTCTGGTTTATTTTTTTATAGCCAACATGGTGTTAATGCCAAAGCCTTTCCTATTCTAAAATGAAATCATAGGTAATGTAACCCACCCAAATGTGGTGGGTTGTTTGTTGTTGTTTAATATTTGTTTGAAATGGTCTCATATAGTCCATGTTGGCCTCAAACTCAATGCTCAGCTGGGAATTACCTTGACTTCTTATCCTCCTGCCTCCATCTCCCAAGTGTTTGAGTCGAAAACTTACCCCATCATTTCTGGCCTGTATGGTTCCAGTCCCTGGATTCCCATATGCTAATCTAGTGCTCTGCCAACTGAGCTGCACCTCAAGCCTCCCCTTCCAGCAACTATTATTAGAAAAGAAAAGAGGATAAGCTGCGCATTTGTGATGCTCTTAGAATAATCCAGGAGAGGGCCAACTGCGAAGGACTCAGAACAAAGCAGTTGGCGTGGACCCGGGGGAGAGGCTGGATTCTGGGATGGGTTTGGTGATGTAGTTGGGATTTGTGAATGGATTGGAGGATTGCACTGGAGTCAGGAAGAAAGTCCACGTGACTTCAAAGGACTCAAGTACAGATGGGGGACCCTGAGTGGAGCAGGCTTGGGGTGAAGTGCAAGGATTTAAGGCTGGACATAGAAAGTACAAACTCGCTGGGCAGTGGTGGCGCACACCTTTAATCCCAGCACTCAGGAGGCAGAGGCAGGTGGATCTCTGTGAGTTCGAGGCCAGCCTGGTCTACAGATCGAGTTCCAGGACAGCCAGGGCTACACAGAGAAACCCTGTCTCGAAAAACCAAAAAGAAAAGTGAAAAAGAAAGTGGATGTCAGTCTGCAGTGCAGGGACAGTCTGGACTGGAGACGTACATTTGGGGACGATGGTTCTTGGGATGACTGAAGCTCTCGATTGAAGGTATCTGACTACAGTGAGGGTGTGAGATGAACAGGTGGCAGACACCCATCGGCCCAACATGTCATGGGGATTAAGAGGAGGAGGACTTCAAGGTCATCTCTGGCTACATAGCAAGTTCAAGATGAGACCAGCCTGGGCTACATAGGATCACTTCAGAAAATTAGAAAAATAAATAAGTAATATCAGCATTAGAAGCTAAGCACTGGACTGCTTATGTCTGGCATCTCGGCTCTCAGGAGGTAGAGGTCGAAGGATCAGGCATTCAAGGACAGTCTCTGCTACATAAGGAATTCAGAGCCA